GGATCAAGTTTTATTTATTAATTTTTATTGAAGTTTGAAGGAATGTGTGGGAGATGTAGTGGTTCCATATGGGTAATCAGAGAGCTGATTTTGAATTCTCATTAAGTTTGTTGCATTCACTTATGTCCAAGTAGCATTGGAAGAGACATTAATCCATATCTTCCTCCTAGCTATGGGTTAAATAGTAGGACTTGTATCCAGAGAAATTTTTGTCAGTCTCAAAAAAATTCTTAGTGCAATATTCACTCCAAAAAAAATTATTATTCTTACAATCCAAATTATGTTCTGACTTTAAACAGTTGATAAGCTGTAAAAAAATCAGTCACTTATATAAGTTTGAATTGGCTTCCAGTTCAAACATAATGTCGTCAGAAAACTTATATCAGTTTCAAGGGATGAAAAGTTCAGCTCTCTAATCAATATAAGGTCAGTAGAATTAAGTGTAATCAAACTAGAATAAGAAATTGGGGGCGGGGGTGGGAACGTAAAAAGAAATCCCAAGCTGACCTAAACAGAAAAAAATGTTTTTTTTTTTATTTTGGTAATGCCAACATAGAACACACATATAGAAGAGAAAAAATATGGGTTAAAGTTGAACGTTCTGTTGAAAATATTTAGTATGTAGATATATGTGCATAAGTTATTAATTGTGGACAAATGCTGCCAAAATTCTATTGGAGATCTTTGTGCATTTTATTTTATTTTGATTTTTATTTATTTTTTTTTTTAGTGACAACAGTAGCAGCACCAGTAGAGTCAGTATGAAAAATTTGATAAATAATATTTATAATGAAATATGAGAAAAATGTAGACAAAAAAAAAATACTGCAGTTTAATATTACATTGCTTACTTAATACAGAAGTTGCTGTTAAGAAAATAGGAAGTTGCCAAAAAGTATATTCCACTGAACCAATCATATTTACCCAATTTGCATAAAAATGTCTGTATGTCTGTATACTCCTGGGCAAAAATAAAAATATGGACCAGGTCCAAAATGACAAAATATTAAGCTTTTAATGGTCTTAACAACAAATCATTGGTAAGGAAATAAACAAGAATTGAACAAATAGATAAAAGTATAAAAACATTTCTTTTATATTTCTGTAAATGTTTTAGCTTTGTGGCTGAAACTACAGATATAAAGAAAAGTCAGTGTTGGTTTAAACTGTTGTGTAGTTGAAAAATGTTTCCCTGTTTGTGTCTTGTGTTTGCTCTATTCTAATATTCTCTATAGGGTTCAAAGCTTAACTCTGACCAGACCAAAACATAAACTTGATAGACTTGTTCTCAAACCATATTTCAGTGGTCTTTGAATTGTCTTATTGAAAAATAATTGATTGTTACATATTTGTTTTTAGAAAACAATTTTTCACTTGCTGAAGCAAGAATTTCTGCAGTATTCTCTTGTATTACAAAGCTCAATTTGACATTTTAGGTTTAACTAAATTCTTAAGTGATGAATGTAGAACTATATTGAATGGACCAGATGAATGAAGTAGAAACTTGGTGCTTCATAGAAATTGTCGACCAACACAACTTATAAAACAGGTGGGGGGAGGTGGAGTAATGTTTTGGGCTCATATTGTATACAGTAAAATTGTAAATCCCTTTAAAGTTGATTATGGAAGGGAAATGTAGAGGATTATTTCAAGTTCTTGGATAAGAAATTCTTTTGAGTGGTACAGGTCACAACAAGAATGAGTTAAGCTAACAAGTATATTTATGCAAAACAAAAATACCTGTATGGATACAATCGGAGATTGTCTCCCTTTCATTGAGATAGTAATGAGGGCCACAAGACAGCTGGTGAATGATAATGACAAAGAGCAGTTGTGATGTAGAGCCCAGAAAAAATAAGGTCCCTAGCCCACAGCAGTAGGTCTTAAAGAAAAAAAAAACACATGGCCTCATCAGGTTCATAGAGAAATATTACAAGTAAGGTTTTCCTTTTTCACACACTGTTTGTTGTTGCATATATGTTATAATTTCTCTACATGGGACGTGTATATGTCTATATATCTAACTTTGTGTACAACATAACGCTATAAAACTCCCTCTGAGAACAAAGCATGTTTGTCATTCTTTCTTCATTCAACTATTCAGTTATGCCTGTGAAGTTTAATCCAGGAGAAAACTTCTGATTCATCTTTAAAATAATGGACATAAGAATGGGTAAGCAAAAACTAGGAATCAGTCAAAAATACATGTAATGTCAAATTCAAAATTAAAAATTTAACAAAATCAATAGCTGAAAGATTGATGAAGGTTATAGAATATCAAAGAGCCTATATTAATATATAAGATAATAATTTATTCAGATATATGGAATATTGGGTTAATCATTGGGTTTCTATGGCCTATATCTTTTGGTTTATTTATAAACAAAACTTTGTTGCACTTTGTATAATAAAACCTGACACCTGCAAAACCAGACCTGATCAATATTTTTAATAAAGATACATATGAGAAACAATGAATATGCATGACAATATATTTCTTATGACTGATGAAGGTTATAGAATGTCAAGATGCCAATTTAAAGATGTAAAATAATAATAATTTATTCAGCAATATTGGATATCATGTTGATCAAATATGTCTTTACTGTTAGGATTTATTTGTAAAATAAAGATTTGCAATTTTTCTTTCTGGATAATAAAATCTGACACCAACAAAACAAGTCATTATCAGTTATTTTAATAAGGATATGAGAAAGTGAAACTGACACATGATATTTCCCAAATAAAAATTTGCTGAAAATATTAACCTGCATAATAAAACCTAGTTTTGGTGATGTCTTCAGAAAGAGTCAGTTGAAATTTCTATGGCTCATAATGAAGAAAGTAGGCTTGGAAAAGTTGATACTCACAGGACTGATTGAAAACAAGAGGAAAACAATGCATAACCTACCTAGCAAGATTGAGTGAATGGATGACAACAACAGGTTTAGGAGAGATAACAAAAAGACAACTTTCATTAAGAGCTCCAGGAAATTGTGGAGAGCAAGGATCACTAACACAACACATTGAAGAAGTATTATATAAGGGTCTTCTGAGAATAATCTTAGAAAATTTGACATGCACAAGACATTGAAGGCAGTAGGGACAGAGGAAAATTGGATTACTTAATGAACTTGAATAAATGGGTCGCAGAACAGAGTGAGAGGGATAATAAAAAGACAAACATTGCTAAGATAGGAAGTTGTGGAGAGCAATGATTGCCCACATCTTTATAATTGTCATGCCAGTTTTGAAGCTGAAAATATAACATCCACAAAAAGATGAATCATTTACAAAGTAGCTTTTATTTATAACATAGTGGAATTTTCTTTGTACTATAAAAATTAAATTGATTTTAAAACCCGTGATTAGGCACTTAAGAGATTTTCAATCTCTTTATTTGCAATATAAAAGTGGCTTAATATGAAAAACATTTTCTACTGCCATTATTTATGTTTATTTTCACTTCACAGAAAAATATATAATTTTCTAGTTCTACTATTCAGAAACTTGTAAATGTGAATTATTGTATTTTAGAATCATTCAAAGATAACATCCTGTTAAAAATTAATAGCAACCTTTTATTCTGAATTCTTTTTTGTAATCAAGTCTGTACATTTGAAATGTTATTGTATAAAGGTAAGGAATTTAGACATTATTTTCTTACATTCTCCCAGTATGTTATTGAGTTCTTTAAAATATTTTTAATGACATCCTTAAGTCATAATATAATGACACACTGAAAGTAAAATATTTCCTTCTTATTTGTTATCTCACCTTTTTATTTAACTCTGGAAAAAATACAAGATTCATCAGTGAATTTCAGTATTTCAATAAATCAGATTGCAGTTTGATGAAACTGTGTGTATTATTTTTACAATAATAGACTATACCATCTACAGAACAAATATGAAATTTATCCATCCATTGTTTGGCATCTTCAACCCTGAAAACAGAATTCAATAAAATAATTTGCTAATGCCTCAAAGCCAAAATGTTTGGTCTTTTATGACTTGAATTCCTTGAATTCTCTATTTTTCCTGTAAACATTTTTTGTCAAAATTTACCTTTAATTTATTAAAAGCTTTTCTTTTGATTCTAGTTTTTCTATAGGCATCAGGAAAAGAAATAGAATAAATTGGGATTTTTCTAAAAAACCAAAGAAAAGAATAAATTTGTTTAAAAAGGGAACAGTAGACTAAGTGTCGAACAAAAGAGTGACAACACAAATTTTTTAAAAAATAGAAAAAAAAAAAAAGTAAAATACAAGAATAAATGCTTAAACTGGGTTGTTAAAAAAAAGTCATTTTGAGATGGGAAAGTTGACCAAAAAATATTGAAAAATTTGGATAAAAAGAAAAATAGATGGACAAGGATTTGGAAAGTTTTAGAAAAATTGAGAGTGAAAAAAATAAGAGAACCAGAAGGAGAAAGAGAATGAAAGAAATGATGGAAGAGAAGAAAAAAGAAAAATAAGAAAAAGAAAGTGAAGAAAAAGAAAGTGAAGAAAAGAAAAAGTGAAAAATTATAAGAAGTAAAAGTAGAAAAGAAAAAACAAGAAAGGAAGGGAACAAAAAAGAGGAGGAAGCAAAAGGAAAAAACAAATAAAAAAACAAAAATTAGAAAAAGAAAAGAGAACAGATGAATAATGAAGAAAAAAAAAGGAGAAGAATGAAGAAAAATAACAAAAGGAGTAGGAGAAGAATGAAAAAAAATAACAAAAGGAGGAGGAGAAGAATGAAGAAAAATAACAAAAGGAGGAGGAGGAGAAGAATGAAGAAATAGAGCAAAGGAGGAGGAGGAGAAGAATGAAGGAAAAGAATGAAAGAGAAAAAGAATGAAGAAAAAGAAAAAAACAAGAAGCTGAAAAGAATGAAAAAAAAAAGAAGAATGAATGGAGCAAAAAGGAGGAGGAGAAGAAAAGAAAAAAACAAAAAGAGGAGAAGAAGAATGAATGAATAGAGCAAAAGAGGAGGAGAAGAAGAATGTAGAAAAATAACAAAGGAGGAGGAGGAGAAGAATAGAGCAAAAGAGGAGGAAGAGAAGAAAGAAGAAAAAGAATGAAGAAAAAGAATGAAAGAGAAGAAGAATGAAGAAAAAGAATGAAAGAGAAGAAGAATGAAGAAAAAGAATGAAAGAGAAGAAGAATGAAGAAAAAGAATGAAAGAGAAGAAGAATGAAGAAAAAGAATGAAAGAGAAGAAGAATGAAGAAAAAGAATGAAAGACAAGAAAAGAAGCTGAGGAGTAGAATGAAGAAAAAGAACAAAGGAAGAGGAGAAGAAGAATGAAGAAAAAGAACAAAAGAGGAGGAGATGAAGAACAACAACAGAGGAGAAAAAGAAGAATGTAAAGAAAATGAAGAGAAAAAAAAAAAGAAACATATTCCAAAGAAACTGAAAGATCAACAAAGAATATTATATATTACAATTCAAAGTATGTCTGAAGAAAGAACAGTGTATGATCATCTTTAATGATCCTTTAAGAGTTTCTGTTGCCCAAGGTGCAATCTTAGTTATCAACATGTATGTGGGGGCGTATGTATGACACAGCAACCATACTGAAGCTAGCACCAATATTCCACTTTATTTCTTTTTTCTGAAATGTACACACCCAAATAAAACTGAAGAAATATATGATACATTTATGGTTGTAAGTGTCTGTATGCAGCTACAATAGAAATAGACTGAAAATAATATTTGTATATGTGGATGTATGCCTGTTGGAGAAATGTTCATATTAATATGCATATGTGCACAATTTAATATAAAAGATAATCATCTGCATTTATAGGTATGCATAAATTTGTGTATAAAATAATTTTTTCAGTGCTAATATAAAAGATGACTATATATTTCCATTTGCGTGTCCAGTGGTGAACATGTATATATTTCATATAGGATTTGATGGATGAAATACCTTTTATCTTTTTTTTCTTAAATCTTCTTTCTTTTCTAATAAAGAGAAATACTCTTGCATCAGTATTTCTCTATGTAAAGTCAAATGCATGTAAGATTACTGTATGTAAAAGTTTCAAAAGAATGAAAGGAACAGGTTTCAAATTAATGAAATTTCTAACAGATATATCATTCTCGAATAAAGTCACTTGACTGTTTTTCTTTTTCTTTTTGATTTCTATTCCTCATCGTATATTAAATATAGTGTATAGAAAGTATCTTCATTTTTACATTATGTATAAATCTAAAGAGACCTATGTTTTTTTTTTGTTTTTATGAGAACATGTAAATATACCAAACAAAGAAGATATACATATACACTTTCTCAAATAGATGATATTGTGGAAGTAGTATTTTGTGCATATTTAATATTAAAATAAATTGATAGACAAAATCAATCTCAAGAAATCTTTCTTTTTCCCCTCAAGATCTGCACTATTAATCTCCAAACAAATATGTCACTTAAAGATGTGTTTGCATATATTCAAGCATACTGGCCACCTATATTTACTGTATTAAAATAAAGGATTTCACTTTAATTAGAATATTATAAAAACTGAAAAATTAATTATAGATACCTGTGACATTTTTAAATACATACTTGAAGAAATATATTTATATAAGGAAGTAATGAAAAGTTTTCAGCCAGACCATCTTCCCAAAATATAATCAAATAAACATCAGATTTTGGGGAAAAGGTTTCTTGGTCCGAGTGAGAACTTTTCTGCATTCCCTCATGTGTATGGATACACATATATATACAGAAACAAACACACACACACAAAGAGTCGTGTAGAGAACAATCTAATTTGGATACCAAATGGTTACGCTGTTCAGTGAGTTTGCTTATATATATATATATATATATATATATATGATGTTTTTAATTTAATGGCTCGCCACATATTCCTTTCATTTACTATCTGTAAATTGTCATAACTTCTTGGGAAAGAGAGTGGAGTGGTTTCATGTTGCCTACTCTAAAGTATTTTAAATTTCAGTGTTTTCTTTGTCCTAAACTGAGATCTATACAATTCACTCATTCGAAACCATTTTTAACCATTGCTTTTAGAAAATGTTTATATACAACCAACAGTGTAGATATCTCGGAATGAGTTTTGGGCCAAACATGGCAACCATATAAAATTCTTGGTCTTATAGGACTATTCAAGAAAATGACACTAGCTTTTATTTTAATGTTTTGGTTTTGTAGCAACTTGTAGTATTGGGTGAAACTACACTTAGCACAGCCTAATCTATGCACAATTTCCTTATCTCCAGTACTAAATTTGTTACAGTTGATCCATACACTGATGTGATATTATAAATACTAACATGTTTATAAATACTAAGTTAATTTTATTTTTCTTTCCCTCACTAAAATATTTTCTCTATTTGATGTTTTTCTGTAAATAAGTCTTGTATAAAGACATAACATTAAATTTTCGAATAAATATTTTATTTTTTATTTTTCTCTTTTAAATATATTGATTTTAAGCAATAGTAAAATTCTGCTGCTTATTTTAAAATGATTGTACTGTCTGCAAAACAGAACTATCTATCAGTCTCGTATTTAATTGTTTGATTATGTTGTTGAGGAAAAAGGTAATGTATAAAGAAAATAAAAAATGGAAATATCATTTATCTGCTTGTAGAGAGTTTTTGTTTTTAAAAAAGAATTTAAAGTCTTTTCCTATGGTAAATCGAATACAAATCTGTCAGGTTTATATACAAGTTATTTCTCTCAATCTCTTTCAATGTACATATTCAAAGTAGTTGGTCTTTGCATAAAACACTGAAGAGATGATCAGAGAAAACAAAGAAAATTAATTGTTGAATTTGTAAAATGCAAATATCAGGTGAAAAATGATGAATAGGTTTCATCTTAGAAACATAAAAGTAAAATAAAGACATTGCTTTCATTTTGACATTTTAAATAATTAAAACAAAAAAAATTATTGGAGATAGCCAAGGCAGTAGTTGTTGGCTGATACAAAAATACATTTCAAAACACAATTTTAAACATGTTAATCTTGTTAAATAATAGTTTAACAGACTTGTATTTTTAGGGGTAATGGTATCTCTTCTCGGACTACCTGAGGTTGACCTTTGAGTCAGATGAAAGACAAAACAAGATCAGGTAGGTTAAGGCAGAACACACCAACCAAGTCCTAAAATTTTTCCTCTGTTAGCCTTGCTCTATATGGCTTTGCATTTTTACTTTTGACAAGTGCAGAACACTTTTCGGACATATGATTATGGACATGTAGCAGCCATTTGACATATAAATGTACATTTAGAGTTTTCATTGTGCTTTATGAACTCTAAATGACTCATACTCTGATGATCCCACGACATACTCAATGTTACCTTTCTTATAGAGTTCAGCATTTGAGGTCTGTATCGAGATTTATTCTTACCAGTATATAGCCTTTGGCACTGAAAATTATAGTATATTAGTATACTCCAAATTTCTTAACTGATTCTTCTATGATTGGTAGTTAGGATGATTTTTTTTTTTTCACAATTGATTCCACAAAACAGAAGTTACTTATGACTGAACATAATTGGTATTTAAATGAGGACATTCAGTATGTATTTAGTATTAATGTTCAAACTATATATATTTTTTATTGTTTTTCCATCATATTTTTATTAGAAAAAAATTTCTTCTTACATGTAAGTTTAAAGCATTAGTCAAAACATTCCCACAAAGACATTTCATTGAAATGAAAAGACTGATTTTTCTTCATTGAACAAGAATTTTAATTGAATTTTAATTGGACTAGAAGGCACTTGATTGAAATGAAAAGACAGATTTTCATCACAAAGCTGTGTTAAAAGATGTCTTTTCAAGAATGCATTGACCACATAATATTTTATTATTTTCTGAATGTTACATTTGTATACATTAACTTTCAAATTGTACATATATGAATAAAGACCAAAAGGAAAACTTATCTTAGGCTTGTTTTGTCCTCTGATGGACTTTATCAAGGCAAATGTAAGGATTTTATTTTGCAACAAGTATCTATGCACAGAAGTAAAAATATTATTTTTTCAGAATTTTTAAAATTAAGAAATTCTGAAAAGCCAACAACATTTTTACTTCCATGAATAAATACTTGATGCAAAATAAAATTCTTACATTTGCTTTGACAAAGTCTATATATATATATATATATATTCAAGTATGTTTCATTATATAATATACACTTATTATGTCTATTTATTTTTATAATAATCCTTTATAATTTTCAAATTATCTTTTTGATGATAAGCTGAAATTCATCAAAGAAGGCACTGTACTTTGGGTTAATCCAAGTACTTTCGATCTCCTCCGAGATGATCTTCAGTGGTGAATTATGAAAACAAACTTAATGTAATTGTAATCGTCGTGATGATGATGATTTTTATAAACACATGTAAAGATGCTCTATTATAATTATTTTAAAATTAACCGTTGTGATTATGATGTTTTGTAAACAAACATTCCCAATACAAGGGGGATAACCAGAGATAGTAAACTGCAATATGGTGTTAATTTTTAGTCAACTCAAATGCATTTTAAAACATTGCTACTATGCTCATAATAAATTTTGTTCAGTGTTGGTTGGTTGTTTTGATATAGATGGCTTTCAGAATTTGAAGTTTTTGTTTATCATTTATATTGGTGATGTCAACAAGTATTTTCCTGCATTATGAAGGTGGACAGGAATGTGTCTTTAAATATTGCGTGACAGAACTTTTATCTGATAAAAGGAGTGTAAGACTTTTTGATAATGTTAGAAAGGATTATTATAAACTAAATAGACATAATATGTCCATATTGTTTAAAGAAACATGTCTGAATGAAGATATACTGCATATATATATATATATATATGATGCTAGCTATTAATACTAGCAAAATTGTAATTTAATGTATATCAAATATAACAGAATTTCTGTTAAGAAAATGCTCAATATGAAACTAGAGTAATAATTATTATTGAAATAGAAGTAAAATAAGTAAATAAGTATTGAATGTTTTTACTTCTTTTTTAATAATATATGTATGTATGCATGAGAAAATACTAATAAATAATAATGCCACAGTGATATTAATGATAATGAAAAACTTGCTATCACATAGCATTAGTCTGAAAAGAAAATTGTTTGACATTTCAAATTAACTGAGTTACTCTCATAAAAAAAATGACAAAGATATCAACAAAGTTTCATGATTTATGCTGAGGCAATCTTCAGGTGCACAGTAAACCCATGGGTTGGATTATGCCTGC